TATAGCTTCTGGATTTCTTTCTCCAACCTTTCCTAGAATGACTCAGTATTTTGTCTTAATTCTTTGTGATTATTCTGTTTTGTCACACCACACTAATTATGTCACTCTTCTATAGCATATTACAAGCCTGAGATATGGCTCATTACTATTGTTAGCAACAACTGTGTTTCTTAAAGTGTTAACTGCCCTTGGCTTCCTTTCCTGATGGTTAACAGACTAGCAGGTCATTAACTACTGGAAATGACCAATTTTTCAGGGATTATGTTTTAACCTTTTGAATTCACACAGTTCACACACATACAACTGTTTCTAATGAGCATTTTTTCCCCTGCTGATCGTTCTTTCTTGTTTCATAAGATATTCCTTCATGTTTCATACCTTTGCCATGTACTTTTTAGGCAGGAGTTTAGTAAATTGTTTTGATGGATCCACAGGTAACAAAAAAACAAATTACAAACATAATTCAAGATGCATGATATATGCTTCTGTTGCTCTATGGGTGCATCTGGATTAAGGTCTAAACTGTTAGAGACAGGTCCACATGAGAGGAGTTACAAATCATTTAATTTGTCAGTGTTTGTAGGAGAGAGAGTGCCATAAACTGGTTTTCCAGGGGAAGAAATCTAGCCATAAAACGAGTCAAAACTACATCTGCAAACTTTCTCCCTCTGCCTACGGTCTCTTGCTTGTCGGAGGGGAAGGTCCAGAAACAGCTTTGTAGGTGCTGCTATCCTCCCCACACTGGTACCTACAAGAGAGCTGGTTCAGAGAGCTGCATATGACCTCAGACATCACAACCACCTTGTGTCCCTTCAGAATTACTCAGCACAGTCAAATTTACACTCTGTGCAGATTAATTATTATTTCTCTGTCTGTGACATTCACAAAGGCGATCCCCATTATCAGCACTGTAATCTTTTCTGAGCTAATTGCAAGTTTCATATTATTTGGAGCTCTTCTTACCCTTCCAGGTTCTGGACTGAAGGGACTGCATGAGTATTTCAGCTTTCATTTTTAAAACTGAATTTAGCCATAATGACAGGGATGAAAAAGTTGAAAATGTAAAACAAGGGCATCTTAAAGGTTCAGAAACCAGAAGGCAAAGAAAGAGAACCCAACATGTGTTGCTTTTTAAACATTCTTGTGATTTTTAAAGCCATCTCCATGCATTTTGGAGGCCTGGCTCGTGATTTTCAAACATTTGGACTTGGCAATTCTGAATTATGTATTGGCTGTATTCAGTTGCCACATCATGCATAAAGTGCTAGGAACACATTTCCCCCATTTCCATTCAGGCTGTTTTCTACTTGTCACTAACAGCAGCAGTGTTTAATAGCCTGGAACAAAAAGGTCAATAAAATGGATGTGTATATCCATAGCCGAGAATGTACTGTGGTATCTAACAGTAAGATTAGCAATTATAAAATGTTTAGGTCAAACGTGAGCTAAAAATAGTTTTGTTCAGTAGGGAGAAACACAGTAAATTTAGAGAAATTTGTAACCAGGCAGGAAATTACCAAAAAACTAGAACAAATTTTAATTGTTCATTTATTTGGATTCTGTAGCATCTTTCCCTTGTATAAGGAATACTTCCACAAGCTATTTACTTAATATAACTGGGGATTAATGCTGTGGTATTGAGGCATGTGCAGAGTTATCTAAATCATGCACCTAAATTCTCACTAAGTTTTAAGTCCTAAACTGATATCCACAAAACTCATGCTTCCCTACCAGATAACTCTGCACATGTCTCAGTGCCACAGCTGCCTTAATTTAATTTTCTAGGCACTTTGCATTGTGCCTCCATGCACCTGTAGAACTGCCTTAATCTTGCCAGGGCTTGACAAAATAGAGAAGCGGTTAGAGGATTCAGGCAGGAAGTGGGAGACCTAGGTTGTGTTCCTCAGCTGGAGGGCTCAAGTCCATATTTCACACCTCCCTGGGAAGTACGATACCACAGGCCAGCCCACTGGTTCTCAACCCTTTTATGCAAGTCCTTAGATTTGAGCCATTCCTCCTTAAAGGCAAGGCACCCCATAGAAAATGCCAGATCTCAGTTTTTGCTGTCTGTTTTTACTACAGAAAAGCAACATAGAGTAATTCTTTGGTTGCAAAGAACTCAGGAAGACCACAACACATCAGAATGACACTATTCATTCCTATTTCAAACCTCTGGGTTTGTCTTGTAAATTATGCTTGCACACCTAACAGTGCTAAACTTTTGTTGTACCTTGGGATGGTAGTTGAAAGGATCAGTGGTAGCTGAACTGGTCTCAAAGCACCCCAGGGTGTCATGGCGCCTTGGTTGGGAATCATTCTGCTGACTTATATAGGATGTACCCCACAGAAGGTTGAATCCTTGCCTCTGTGCGGAAGAGAATTCAAGATTCACTGTGAAGAAGGGACATTACTCTAGAGCCTGAAAGTAAGAGCAAGAAGTTGAGGGGCAATAGTCTTGGGTTCTGGTTCTGTTCCCAAGACTGTTTCTACGCTTACATTCAACTTCTGTTATATAAAATACACAAAGTCGTTGACTCATCCTGCTCAAAACTGGATACAATTTCACTTCCATGCTTTTTTCTATAAATTTGTGCTAAAATACAGATTTATAACAAGACCCTGTGGGAAAGTCACATGGCTTTAATTTTCATTCCAACCTTTTTACATAGTTCTAATGAAGACCCCTGGAAGAATCATACTACAGAGACCCTACATTAAAATATGCTACTTCTCTAAAAGCCTAGATCTCAAGATGAGAGATGCTAAACTATGCATAAAGATAGCTGCAAATATAAAAAAGCAAGCACAGACTAAAAGACAGAATAGAGTCAAATGCTATAAAAGTTCAGGGGATCTGAATCCATTGGAATAATATCTGGAACTGCAGTTTAAATGGGTTTGAGATTTTTTTTTTCTGATCCAATACACAAATACATTCTTGCAGTATGAGAATTTTGAGTGATAGCTTGTGGATTAGTTTTCGCCTACTGCTTTCTCTATGTTACTACATATTTTATTCACAGGATAATCCTGCTGAAAGATTCATGGACTCCTTGTTATTATAAGCTTGTTAGGACAAAAACCTATACTCTTTACTTGTTCTGAAGTATTAAGTAAGATGGGCTGATAAACTACTCTTAAAAAAACTTTTCTGACATACACAGAATATGCTGCTTTGATTTGGCTAGCATAGTCTTGTCAGCTGTGCTACACAGCTGACAGCTTCCTGTGACAGCAGGAAAATATTAGTATACCCTCCAGCAGTTATTGATTTGTAGTTTTCTCAATTAGTGATAATGAAAATATGTTGAGTTGATTTTGCCTCTCTTCTGAGTACCTATTTTAGTGTACTCTTTTCTCTTCCAGAGGAATCTCCAAGTAGTGTCTTTTCTTTGTTCTTTAGATTATGAAGTGCTAATCAATTAAATATACCAGCAGAGAATATTTTAAAAGCAATACTTTTAGAAACCTCAAATATATCTCTCCTTCTTCCATGACCCCTTAGTACCAAGTCAAGAGACAGGAATAAAATTAAATATGCAATGTAAATGACCATGGGTAGATCTAGGGATTTGAAAAGGGAGGGTTGTAGATGGTATGGTGCATCATCGCATATAACACAATGTGCATTTTTATTAAGTTAAAAAGAAACTAGAAGCTTTACTAATAACCTAGTGGCACAGACCTATATTATTATTTAGTTAAAAATCAGAGAAAAATAAACCCAAATTTATTGGACTGTGCAAGTTGTTGCTAAATCATATATTATGCATTAAAAACCACAACAAACTATACAAAAATTATCAAAACATGTTGTTTCATTAGTCCTGCAGTCACTGGAATTAAATGGACATCTCTTTTTCATATTCATAAAACAAAATCTTAGGCATCTTGACAGTGCATCCAGTGCCTTACTGAAAGTTAATACTACACCAGAGTTAATGGCTCTAGTTAAAACAGTCATCAGGAGCGTGAAATAGGAGCTACATTTTGCTGTCTGTTAGCCAGGGGCTAACAGACAGCAGAATTACAGAAGAAGGGGTAGCTCAATTAGCTGAACATCAAGACCATTGAAAAAAGGAGAGAGGGTCATTAACACCTGTGCAATTAAGAATTTAGAAGGAACCATGTAGATTATAATAACCATTATAATCATATATATATGAATTTAGAAGGAACCATGTGGTCAAATGATTTAGGTCACTGCTGCCTGAATGGAAATGCTGCTGGCACTGTCAGGCGGTTGATTGTAAACTTCTCAAAGAGGAGGTACAATTGCATCACTTCACCCTTCCCCCCTTTCCCCTGTGCTCCCCACTCCTGCCAAGGATCTGCTCCTGCATTTGACTATCTGGGGTATCAGCAAAACATCCATGGGTAATATCTTCCCTGTATCTATCTTCACTTTTTCAATGGTAAGTTCTTTCAGGCGAGAATTCTCTAATATTCTGTATTTGTACAGGGCCTAGCACAAAAAGACCCTGAGTTAGTTTTTCCCTAGGTAACAATAAAAACTCGATTATTAACAAGACCCAGGCAGATTGTTTCCTAATTTAAATAGATTCTAGCCTCAGACACACCAATGTAAACCTTTTGATTCACATACATTTAAATTTGGACGCAATACGACACAAAACCTACCAGAAATAGTACAACAGGGACATAATTAGAATATGAACTAAATTCTTTCCTCATTTAAAGTCAAGCACCTAGCTTGAATTGAAGTCCATGAGTCAAAACCTGCTGTCATTTTCAGAGGTTTAATTTCCTGTAACAGAACACTGGATTTGGCCCATGGAAGTAAGGGAAAATGGCTGGTGATTCATACAGCTCTCTTTCCACCTTAATTCAGCAGAAAACTTAAGTATTTGGAGCATTCAGTCTAGACAGAGGTATTGAATTTATTTATCTTGATTGTGTTGCACATTTCTGTTGAGTTAGAGCTAATAAAAGACTAATCAATTATTTAAAGCATGCACCTAAATTCTCATGATGTTCTAAGTCCAGGACTGAAATTCGGGAAACCCACGCTCAACTACCAGCTGAAATTCAACAAATCAAATACCAAGGAACTAAAAGAGTGGAACATAGAGCTACAAAGGACATACCTGAGCCATTTTTACAGTATGAAGTAAGCAACTAGTAAAGGACATTCTTCAAAATCAGTCTTAAGAAGGTAGGAAATGAACACATTCTGTCACTCCATATTGAGAGGATAGAGAAGGTATGGACTATGTGACCTGGGAACAAAAGTACGAAATGCTAGCAGTAAGATCAGGTAGAATTATGATATCACTGACTCATCTCTACACACATACTCATCAGAAAAAAAGACACAGCATCATATAGAAAGACATAGATTATAGAATATTTCTGAATCTTGGAAGACAGTTGAAAAAGGGGGAACTCCAAGTGATTTTTCTCAGATATCCTTCTAGTCCCCAAAACAAGGAAAAGAAGGAAAATAAAATATGTAAGCTGAACAGTTGACTTCATGACCGTGTACAGCCAAAGGTTTTGATTTTGTGGAATATTGGGCAATAGTACATGGGCACTGTTAAAACAAGATAACATGGTTCAGGCAGTGGGACTAATAGTCTCAAGTGAAGATGAGTTTATCTGGAGCTGCTAGAAGGACTAGTCTTACCTCGATCCTAGGCAAGCTGTTTGAGAAAATAATTCTGGCACACACCCTGGAGGGGCCAGCAGGGGACTGCATGCTTAGGGGCAATCAGCACGGGTTCATCAGTGGCAGGTCCTGTCAGACCAACCTGGTGGCTTTTTATGATCAGATCACTAGATCATTAGATACAGGGGTAGAAGTGGACATAGTCTTCCTGGACTTCCAGAAGGCTTTTGACACTGTCTCTCATCCCATTCTTATTAAGAAAATGGGAGGCTGTGGTGTAGACACCCACACAGTCAAGTGGGTC